AAACAAATCTAAGCAGTCCACTACATTGAGCTTATTTTTCTTTTGCCTATAATCATATTTGTTTGTTACCGATAACACCAAGAGAGGCAATATAATAGACTAAAAAAATCATTGGTGATGCCTCCATCAACGGTGCCAAGCCCCAATGCCAACAGAACTCTGAAACCCCAAGCATCAGAAGTTCAGAACAATGAGTGGACTTTCTTTGCATGTGTTCATCAAGAGCAACCTTCCTTTGTTACCGGTAACACTGATAGGTGGTATAACAGGCTATAAAATCTTTAGCATTGTCATGCATCCAAAGTGGCAAGCATGAACCATGCCAGTGAGCTGTAAGTGTGCAATATGGCTTTTTTATTCACAACCAGCTCACTATATATATATGCATCAGGCAATGCAGTTAATTTCTCCAGAGAATCCATCTGGAAGGAACTATAAGGTATCTTCTCTGTCAGCAAATTGTAGGCATCATCTTTTCTGTATATGAGGGTATCTTTGTGAAGGCAATGCCTAGCACTAAGATCTCTAAATTCATGTTAGTAAGAGCAGAACATGAACTCTGAATCGTTGACAACCTGAACTATGAGTTGGGTGAATCGTTGCATGCTAACCAATATTCTCAAGACTGAAACTAAATTCACATGTTGTCATATATTTGATAGCGATTTTGCTAACCCCTGAAAATGATATGGATCAACATGTATTTGATAATTTTAATTCGTTCTGTCTATTCCTGTATTTGAAAAATGCAACATTCAATTACCCTTTGTATACTTGATTGTTCTGACAATAATCGTGTAGATAGGAATGCGTCACCAACTTTCTGACTGAAATCTTCATGAATACATGCCTAGCTACTTACACCATTGCACTACTTAAACCAAACTCAGATGATATAATATCTAAATTTGCCTAAAATGCAAGTGCATCAGTGCTATCTGTTTCTATTTTCTTGGAGTCAGAAACCACAAGTTTTTCTCATGCAATTAGTACTCTAATTAGTACCTTAGTATTCATCCTTAACTCGTTTGTATGCTACAGGATAACAGTGAAAGGTAGAAGAGACAGACAAATTAGAAGCACAGAACTATAAGGGTGTTGCTGTGTTGTTCAGTTTTGCTAAAAACAATCATACGCTACTATGATCTCTGAACCCATGTTAGTAAGGGAATACATGAACTCTACATCGTGTATTGGATTTGACAACCTGAACTCTAAGGATGTCATATATTTGATAGGGATTTGCTAACCCCTGAAACTGATATGGATCAACATGTGTTCGATAATATCAGGTCATGACGAGGGAACTTTATTTCCTATGTTAGTTCGTTCTATCCATTCCTGTAAAAAGATAAATCATGCACACTGATAGGAAAACTAGAACACAAGAAACATACAATTTCTTCTTACCTGAAGCTACTCTCAGATTATCTGTCAGATAGAAGGAAGCATGATGTTGTCACCTCTTTCATCTTAGATAAATATTTTTATTGGGCGGGCCTGGGGCAAGCGGTAGAGTCTTACCGCCTGTGACCGGAAGGTCCTGGGTTCGAGTCATGGTCTCCTCGCATTGCACGGGCGAGGGTAAGGCTTGCCACTGACACCCTTCCCTAGACCTCGATAGAACATGAGCTCTCTCAGACTGGTACGCCCTTTAGGTAAATCAATCCCTCCCGATTTTCTCGAGGAGTTAACGTGAATGAGTTGTGTCCTTCTCATAATGTACTCTTTATGCAAGAACAAAAAATATGTTACCTACTGATTTTTCTTTATGCAAAATAAAAGGACAGTTTTGTTTGGTTGTTGTCTTTTGGGGAGAAGTTACTTTGGGAACACGGACTACAACCTTTGGGGTGAAGCTTAGTTAACTTTTTGTGTTTAGGTAAGATGCAAATCAATCCCTCCTCACTTTTTTTTATTTTTTGTGTTTCCCTACGTGTCTTCCTCAAGGATACAACCATCTAGCATTGATATGTAGTCTGATAATTGTTATATCATATTCCATGGTCTCACTTATCTTTGAAGACTGGAGCGGTATTCCAACAGATGACGTGCCCAGCACGTGTTTGTCGAATTTAAGCTTTGGTGACAAAAATTGCTAATTCGTTGCTAGCATGAAAAAACGCTATTACAAATTTCGTTGCTGTTTATTTTTTTCATTCAGATTGTACAATATGTTTCCTTCAGTGCGTTGCTAGAATTCTTGGCAAGTTTAGTTCCTTGTTCAACATGTTGCCTACTAAACTGGTTGTAATCAAAGTCGGGAAGCATGCCCAAATGTGTGATAAGTAGAAATATGATCCAATTAACCTCTCCTAAGGCTAAAACACGTTCTGTCCATCAGCCCGTCACTATCGTTTGCTCCTGCTGTTCAGTGTCATCTTTCTACAGCTGTGCTTTCGATCTGAATTTTCATTTCACCTAAGTAGAAATATGATCTTTAGGATACTTTACATCGGTTCATATTGTTCAGATTATGCGCTGCTATGAGTATATGTGTTCCTGTTACAACGCACATGCATTTACCTAGTAACCTATACATTTATATATGCTTTTGTCAATCTGGCTCTGTTTGGCAGGACTTATTGCTGCTGCGGCTGATTTGTAGGGCTGATTTGTTGTGAGAGAAAAATATTGTTCCATGACTGAAAAAGTAGGGCTGATTTTGGCTTATAAGCTCAAGCAAACAGAGCCTAAATCTAAATTAATCATTTTAATTTCATTGGCAGCGACAAAAGAAAAATGATGTTGTTCAGCCTCAAGTCGAATCGGAGAATGACGGCAGCAACAAAGAAGCAATTCCGCAGTCTCAAGAATACAATGCCATTAGCAGTTTTACTCAACTCATAACAGCTACAACTTGTGTCGATGATAACCTTCAGTTCTAAGTATGTATAGGCTAGTTAGATAGCATTTTGGATAAAGCTAACTATAGTATTTTACGGTCTAAATGTAATCTTTCGCGGCCTTACTATAGTTTTTTTGGCCTGAATGTACATATCAAATGCTTCAGTTGTACCAAATATTATTGGAACACAGCTCTTTACCAATCGTGTGCTTGCTAAAATGTTCTGTTTGTGTGTAAATATGATGTATTTCCAAAGCCAAAATGGCTTTGTTTCTGTGCAAATCTGATGATGCAAAGTGGTGTTCTCCATTATAGAGGGAATATGTCAACACATAAAGGAAACATCAATATGCTGCAAATCTGCTGCAGTTCAGGTTTCAATTTTCACAAGTTTTATCAATGCAATACCTCAAGATGGGCCTCTTAATTTCATTGTACAGATATGAAGAATCTGACATGGTTACAATAAGTAATTCCTTATCTAATTACATGAACCATAGAGTCAAGCAATGGATCTTTGAATCTAGTCCTTGCAGAGAGCTCCTCCACAGCGCCGGCATGCCTCCTGGACATCCATGTCGGCTACCATCTCCATCACAGCAGCGCGGAGCTCCGTCCCCTCCCGGACTGCGTGGTGCCAGAGAGTTCCTCCGTTGTGCCTCGGTGCGAGTCTTCCTCAGCTCGACTTCTGTCCTCTCCGAGGAGGCGCGAATGCCGGCGTGGCGCGGGAAGGCTGGGCGCGGGACTTCCTCGGCTTCGACTTTCGCCCCCTCCAGGGAGGCATGAATGGCGGCGTGGTGCAAGAGCATTGCAGCGGCGCGACTTCCTACAGCGGCGCGAGGAGCAGTCCAGGAGCTGGAGCGGCGCGGCGTGGCGCGTGAAGCTCCGCCTGCAGCGGCCACCGTGAGGGAGATGGCGTGAAAAGGTGAGAGAAATTTTTTAGACGTCAGATGGTGTTTCAACGCTGGATATAGGGCCGCACGTTACGTTGTGACTTTGCCGAAGGAACGTCCAATCTGAGTCCCAGAACACGAAAAAATTGCAAAAATGGAACTCTAAGGGCCCCTTTGGCACAGCTTCACGAGCAGCTTCTCGAGCGGCTTTTGTTGAAGCCGTGCCAAACGGACAAAACCAAAACGGCTCACGAGCGGAAGCCGGCGAAAGCCCCTAAAATCCCGCTCTCTACACTTCTCCACCGGGGAGAAGTCAAAAATAGCGGCTCATACCGGCTTGTCCTCGTCCCAACAACTCATTTTCCATCTTTGTCCCAGGAGGATGAGCAGTGGGCAGCGTCGATCTGAGGGGGTTGTTGCCAGCCGACGCAATGACACTGCATGGGCCATGGGGCTGCACGGTCATGGCAATGGCGGCGGCGTCAAAGGCTTGATTAGAAGGCAGTTGGACTCCTTGCTCGCCTCCGCTTGGCGAGCCTCCCACGCCAGCCCACTGCTCATGGGCGCCGACCTCTTGCTCCACCCAAGAGAGAGAGAGGGGGGGAGGGAGGGAGTGGGTGACAGGATAAGGAGTGTGGCCGTTCTGATAAGGAGAAGAAAAGAAGGGGAGAAAGAAAGAAAAAGAAAGAAAGAAAGAAAAAGAAAAGAAAAATGAAGAGAAAAAAAATAGAGAAAAAAAATTTAAAGGTATTTTGAACATTTAACATTTCTTTACAACTAAGAGAAGCCGTTTTACCAAACGTTTTCGTACCAATAAGCTAGAGCTAGAAAAGACTGCTTTTCTATATGAGCCTGAGCTAGAACTATTTTTTCACGAGCCAGAGCTATGCCAAATGAACCCTTAACTCTAAGATCATGATAACACTCAAGGATGATAAATGGGTTCATCTACTATAAATGTGGGTTAATATAAATCTTCAGACGACCGATGTTTCTGGTCTCATTTTTTCGATTGTCCCGAGAACAGGAGGGGCGGATAGCACACTCCATCCTCTTCCTCGCCGGCGGAGACGAGCCGCGCCCGTCCGTAAATCGGAGCTCCGGCGTGGCTAGGAGCTGGTCTTCCTTCGATTCGCCTTCCTCAACACCTCACACGAGAGCAACGGCAGCTCTACCGCGAGTTCGCAATTTATACGGCCACAACGTCTTTGTGGGTGGGCGCCTCGTCTCCGATCGATCGACGGCGAGAGCGAGCGTTCATGGATTCGGAAGGGCCCAGGAGGGTCTCCCTCAAAGCCCACCGCCCCGACTGGAAATCGGAGGTTCGTCCAATCCGCCTCATGACAACCTCTCCCCGCATCCCTTGCCGGCGGTTCTTCGCTTCCGAATTCCGATTGCTGTTTTGCTACGTTGCGCTCGCCAGAGGTCTGAGACGCCATGATACTGCTCGATTGCTGGATTAGGTGATTTGGTGGCGGATGGGCGCAGGCGCGCCGCGCCGCGCACCAGGTATTCGATCGATTGGCAGAATGGTCTGTCGGTGTAGAACTACCTGTGCGGTCATTGTATGCATCAAGTTGTCAAGTGATTATAGCTTCTTTTTAGTATTCGTAATATCTAGTGAATTAAAATGTTTGATCTCCTTTTGGGCATATGGCAGCTCCGATTTGAATACTTTTCTAATTGATTGTTGGTCCTGCATTCTCATTTTAAACTGCTGCCTTCCTTGCCATCTATCCATGTGTGCTTATCCCCTATTTTACTATCAACAGCTTAGAACAAATTGCCTCAGAAGAGTTAGAAAGGACAGAACTGACTTGCTCTGGAGGATCAGGAAGCAGGGGCAGCTGCCTGCCAATGACATGGTATAAAAATTCTCCTTTTATCAGATCTGGTGAGGTGCACTTCACGTTCATCTTGCAAATTATGTGTATATGAGCTATGCTTCTTTACACATTATATTCTTCTCCATGTGATCAATGCATGTTCCTGGTTGAAACACAAAGAAAACTCAGGATAAAACTTCCTTAGATGATGTAATTCACAAATTCCTGAATGCTTATGATATCATCTTCCAGCATCCAATAGGCTACCACCTAGCTGAATGTTTGTTCCTATTAACTTTGCATTCTATGTTATTATAAGCAATCATACTTTTTTCCGGCTTCTACTCTCTTATTTACCTAAGGTGGACCGTCCAAGAATTCTGGTTTGAAACTTTATTTTCTGGACAAAAATTCTTACACTGACTTACTGACACAGATGGCATAAATAGCAATGTTATGGGCTCCAGAGTTGTACAGTTATGAATGTTTGTTGGTAACACACTAATGCACTGCATCACTAATTGTTGGTGAATAAGTATTCACACTATAATTTTGTTCCAAGCACTCCCATTACTTTTGAAAACATTCATGTTAAAAAAATAGATCTTTTGAAGTTGGATGTGAATAACAAAACTGAAAAGTAAGCTTATCGCCAACCCCAATTGACAAATGCGTACATCTGTGTTAGCATACTTCACATATATATGTTGCTTGAATATATTTCCATTTTTGTTAATACCTGATTCATCTAAATATGGCAACTGACAGGAAAAGGTCGAAACTGCTGTCAGGAACATCATCTCTGATGAGATAGAGAAACTCAAACAGTCCAATGAAGGAAAAGAGGACCAAGAAATGGATGTCATATGGGAATATCAAGGACCGCAGTCTGCTAAGCCTGCTGAAATTGAAAGTGAAGATATATTGCTTGAAATGGAAAGACTTCTTTATGAAGATATTAGAGAAGAACTAATCAGAAAACGTGTGGTACCTATAACTTCTGTTATTATTTCATTCTCAATGCTTACTGACCAACAATCTGTTTGTTCATCTTATTGGCTATTGCTGGAGTTTAGCTGCAAGAACAACCTGATCAACTTTTATTTGCATAGTTCTGCTAATTCCATGATATATTTTACTCATTGGTCTGGAATTTTTTTTGTCAGTTATTTAATCAGTTGTTATTTGTTAACCATTGCAGAACTAGAGGCACTTGATGAGGAAGATGCATATTTAGCTCAAAGTGTTTTTGATCATATGCAACTAAATGACAATGAGGTATTTAGATATTGGAGGTTTTAGAAGTCTTCTTGATCAAGTGTTTAAAAATACTATTCTCATATGACTGGTTCTGTGCTTGGTGCTGTCTTGGCTCATGCCTACGTGGTCTTTTAAGGGCACATGTTTCAGTTTCTTTCATGGTTCTGTGCTTCATGTGTAACTGTGGAATCCTTCTGTTCATCTAGGTGGGGGTGAGATAATAAATACTCCCTCCATTCCAAATTATAAGACTGTTTGGCTTTTCTAGATACATTGTGTTTTATTCTAGACATCGTGTATATCTAAGTGCATAACAAAAGGTACGTATCTAGAAAAGCCAAAACGTCTTATAATTTAGAATTTAGGGGGGGGGGGTACTTGTTAAATTTGCACACTTAGATTGTGATATGAACTTCAGACCCAGGCCAATACCGACCCAGATCAAATAGAACACCAGTGACTGCACTCTACATACAGTGTGAAGAATGCAGCACATTTGATATTGTGGTATAACCGACAGGAAGCTGATATATATCAGCACTTCAACAGTGGAAAGAAATGTTACGAAACTTACCTGAAGTTATTTCTTTGTTTCATGTTAGATTAGCTGGTTAAGTTATGGGAAGATGGCTGTACATCAGAAAGGTGGCACACACTCAGCACCAGAACACGTTCATCCATGGCAGCTTCAAGTGAAAACAATTGACATACATATGGAATTTTCATGTATGTCCAACTTAAATGTTGCAGAGGAAGACCGAAGTTGACTTGGGTAGAGGCAATAAAAGGAGACTTGAAAGGATGGAATATACCCAAAGACTTAGCCTTAGATAGGAGTGCTTGGAAAACAGCTATTCACGTGCCTGAACTTTGATTGCTTCTGATGGGTTTCAACTCTAGCCTACCCTAACTTGTTTGGGACTTAAAGGCTTTGTTGTTGTTGTTGTTGTTGTTGTCCAACTTAAATGTTGCCACCGGTGTACAGTGGGTAGTAAATATGCACTTGACCATGGTCAACATCTTGTTGCCAGCTTACTTTGAAAGTTGAAACTGCAACTACATTGAACACTTAGATTTTGCACACTTAGAATTGGTTGGATGCACTTTAATGTATTGAGTCATGAATAATTCTAGGCAATCTCAGACAGTAGAAACGTAAAATTACTGTTTCTTTTCAGTTTACTAGTGTATCTGTGTTATATCTTCTGGAGCAATTTGTCAATGCAGTTCTGTCCTTATTGTTACTAGACTGTAAGAGACATGCCCTTGCTTTTTGTGCATAATTTGCATCGTTTAATTGCATCTCACAGAAATAATGTGGTATATTTAGACCAAGATGTAAAGGTGCAGATGTGTTTTTCCCTTTCTTTTTAATAACTTGGTGTTCTGGATGGATTGTATCGTTTGTATTACATATGCAACACAGCTGTTCATATGACTGTCATATTTGCCATTTGTGTTGTTGTTAGCTCAGTGACTTATAATATATGCTATAATCATTTTCAGGCTGCTGAAACTGCTAAGCTCTGGTGTCCAGTATGCAAGCGAGGAGATCTACGAGAAACACATAATCTCATATACTGTACTCTCTGTAAACTACGGCTTGACCTTGGAGAAGATAAGGTAGTTTGTATTTGCGTAAGTGCAGGTTGTCTTTATAAATCATTTGGCAAAAGGCAGTTAGGGAACCTAATTGCTTCTATTTTCCCCCATCAGATGACGCTGGAGTTCTTACGAGAACGGCTGGCCAATGCGCATACGGATCACTTTGACAGAGGATGCAAATCAGCACCCAAGTTCTGTTTACAGACTATGTTTGGCCTGACTGCACTCTACATACAGTGTGAAGAATGCAGCACATTTGATATTGTGGTATAACCGACAGGAAGCTGATATATATCAGCACTTCAACAGAGGAAAGAAATGTTATGAAACTTACCTGAAGTTATTTCTTTGTTTCATGTTAGATTAGCTGGTTAAGTTATGGGAAGATGGCTGTACATCAGAAAGGTGGCACACACTCAGCACCAGAACACGTTCATCCATGGCAGCTTCAAGTGAAAACAATTGACATACATATGGAATTTTCATGTTTGTCCAACTTAAATGTTGCCACCGGTGTACGGTGGGTAGTAAATATGCACTTGACCATGGTCAACATCTTGTTGCCAGCTTACTTTGAAAGTTGAAACTGCGACTACATTGAACACTATTAACAGAGACGCTCATTTATCTGATGATGCTGTGAGAACCCAGTGTCGAGATTTACATCTTTGGTCTTCCTTTTCACTTCAATGCGCAAAATATGACTTATTTTCATTTGCAGTTTGTGCAAATGCACGCTAATTGTGTGTTCAAAGCAAGTATTGTTGCTGATAGGAGTATCGGAGAGTCTGCTGTTTATTGATAGCTACTGCCTTATAGTCGAAATCCTTTGCAATTATATATTTTACCATCTGTTGACTTTTTGTAGTTCTACTTCTTTCTACCTGTCACTTTCAGTGACATCCTAAGCTGCGTTATCTTGCCAAAGGAAGAAGCTAAGGAATGCATGCAATACTGAATTGATCTGAACTTGAATTCGTCTTTGGGCTAGCTCGGCATTCCTTTGCAGGTCTGCCTCCGGAGGCGAGTGTCGCCTTCCTTCGCCAGAGCTAACCGCTGGCACAGGCACACAGCAGCAGCTTGCTGCAGCAAATCCACATAATTCGGCCACATCCACACGCATGTCGTGTCCATCTTAATTTCTTGATGTAATTTTTTTTAAAAAAAAAAGATCATGATGGATCACCAAATCCTCTTCTATAAATGGCATAAAGAATGGTCGGCAAATAGACATTGGTTAACTAGAAGTTAGAGTCATTCTTAAGTTGATTAAATGCTCATTTGGTAGAGTTCCACTCATTGATTTTTTGCTCTAGTTCCGTGATTCTTTCATAGAGTAATTCCAGTGGGGTAGATGCAATGAGAATATATAGTGAGGATTAAGAATAGGGGAGCGGTGATGAGCTGTTTTTTTTTAACTTAGTGTAATGAAGAAGCAATTTTGATAATGACATTCACCCCGTTCGGCTGGTCCGCGCTATAGTAAAAAACGGATGGTTTTGGATGAATAAATAGTATTCTGTGAGAGAGAATAAGCTGGAACAAGCTGGAACATGACCAGCCGATCACCCCGACTTATGTTTGACCCCTTTGGCTGTCTAGAAGCGATTCTCACGGTAAAGTTTGGAGCTGGAAGCGCTCCCAAGTTCCAAACGGCCCTAAACCCAATTCTTCGATCTTGGCAAACTGATTGAAGCACTTTGGGCCATTCTCCAAAGCGAGAACAAGCTATGAAAGAGAATATCCAAGGAGATGTATATAAACATCTGATTTCTTTGGTAAATAATGAAGAGACTTGATTTGTTCAGGATAAGAATGACGCTGCCATTAAAAAACAAGATGATGTTGCTTGATGACCACTTCTTAACCACCATCACCTGCTAGGCCCGTCTTCTCTTTCCAGACTGGTTAAACCTCTTTTTTTATAAAAGAAAAAACGAAAGGTTAACTATCGGTCTATGTATATTAATATAGAAGGTGAAATAAAAAAAACACATTTACAACACACAAACACAGCACCAACACGCATACTATCGGTTCATCTTCTCTTCGGTTTCAGTACCGTATTTCAGTGGATGCTGAGCTGGGTCCGGCGACGTATTCAGTTGACGTGGCCCATTTTTTTTTTTAATATCTCTGATCCAGTCAAGACATTTTTTCCCCAAAGATATGCTGAAATCCTCTGCAGCAGCGTTGCGAATAAATAAATGTTGTTTTCTTCATACAACGTCGAGAAGACTAGGCAGCAAGGAAGAAACTTAGGTGCAGTGTCACATTCAAAAAGACACTGGGATGGGATCATCACAGTTCACACAGTTGGTTCCAATGCCACTAAATCTTGGCGTTACATTAGTGGAGTACAAGAGGAACAGCCGACAAACATGAAGCCTCGATCGAGTCATGCACAGTAGAATTTTAATCTCTTCCTCTTCAAACTGGGAAATAAAGCATTCATCCATGCTGGCAAATGGCAATCAAGTAATGACGTACAATTTTCCATACGCTCGAAAAGTTGACTTCGGAGCAACTTGTACGACACATGTGAAGGTAGAGTGTATTATGACTTCTAAAATTTGTACTAAAATATAGTACATTCTATATGTGTCAATGTCTATATTTGGCAAAGTTTATTAAAAAGGAAACTATAATTTAAGTAGAAACACCTTAATTGATATTAGCCTATGGGTACATGTGTTATTTGAGGATTCCGTTATGTCTTAAATTTTTTGAAATACACTATATTATAGGACCGAGGGACTAATCTCAGCAGCGTGTTTCTATGCAGTGGATTCTTCCTCAATCATTCTTTCCTTCCAATAAGCTGAAATAAGTCGGCACAATATTGAAATGTTTCTCTCTCAAGTTGTCAACAGTGATAATTTCGGATCAGTTAACAAATGGGTGGTGACGGCGGTAAGACTGTCTCCAACAACTCATGCATCATGGCATGCATCACGGAAGGGGAGAGGGCGCCACCACCGGTGGAGGAGCAGCCACGACCGCGCGCCGCAGGTGGGGCAGGAGGATGCGCGCCGCCGGTGGGGAGAGGACGTGCGCCGTGGGGCTGGGCGTCGATGTGGGGCCCTAATCTTTTGCATTGGCTGTTGGAGATGGGAGGGTTTGGGTGCGTGTGTTGCATGATCCAAATGATGAAATGAGCCTCTCGTTTGGGTTTCAGCTGTTGGAGATAGTCTAAAAAGAGGCTAAGGCGGATGACAGGAGGAGAAAGGGACACGAGTAGACCACACACCAAGCAATGGATATTCTACGAGTCACATGATTATTTTATTTTTGTTTGTATTTTATATATTGATGATTATATCTTGAAATATATATCTTGGAAAGAAAGAGTCATCCACAGACCAAATCGCATCGGCTACTACCTGCACACAGCTAGAAAACAGCCACCATCAAATCATATACACTTCCATGGAAAGGTCCAAATGGCAAAATCAACAAACAAACGAGTAATGTGCCGTCACCCGTCACTCGCAGAAGCCAAGTCAAACACGAGTTTGGAACTAGTGCGAAGGACTACCTGAAATGCATGGTCATTCATCATCATTATGTATTCCCAGCTGAAAGTACCTTTCTTTTTTCCTTTTTGCTAAGAACCTGGAAATCAGCTAGCCATTTGAATTTAGCGTCCCCTCTGACCTCTAGATTCGAAGTGTGTCTATGGTTTTTTCAAGTCTGTTAGAGCATCAATAGTTCTAAAAAAACACTTAGTAAATTAACGAGTTTTTCAAGTGGAGAAAAAAAGGAGCACATTTTGTTGCCTTTGCCCAACAGTGTTCAAGAACTTGCTCTAAAAAATAAAAAAGTAGGTCTATATGAAGTTGTTTGGCACTAAGCTCTGTCCTTGTTCGCGCACTACTGGATCCCGCTCGCCACCTCCTGCCACACTGCCATCGCCCCCAACCACCCTCAGCCACATCCTAGCCACCCACAAAATGGATTCCTCATCTTCTGGCAGCCACCACCCAGACGCTAGGAGCCCCTCCAGCCAGCTAGGGGCAACCTCTAGTTGCCCAATCGATGGCCAGTCGAGATACCTCATACTTAGAGATAATAATGATGCTTTCAACTTGCTATAATAAACTTAGTTTATTAGTCATGGGTGACCCTTCATGGTTTAATAATAATGATTGGAGTGGAACCTTTCTTAATTATAGTTTTTTTTGTTGTGTTTGTTTCTGCTATTTACACTATTTATAGGTGTCGGTGCGAAAAGTGACCAACAAATACATATTTATAGTTTTACCGTGCGTTGTGATCGGATGTGGCCTAGCACTCAATGACACATGATTTTATACTGGTTCAGACAACGTGCCCTACGTCCAGTTTCAGTCGGTCGGTGACTTTATTCCTAAGCCCAGGTGCTCGAAGTTTGCTGTGGGGTTACAAACGGGTAGGAATAAGAAGGGGGTGTTAAAGGCCCGGTCGGACTCTGAACCGAAGGGCCGAGAGTGACGGAGGTCAAAATGGCAACGGGTACCCGAAACTCGAGTACCCGATGGGTTTTACCCGATAAGGAGGCGGGTATGGAAGACATTTTGCACCCGCGGGTACGTTATTGGATGAATTCTTGTACCCATCGGGTATGCGGGTACGGGTGTGGGTGTATACTACCCATACCCGCGGGTAAAAAAAACCCGCATAAATAATATCCAACCTCTGTAATTTTAGCCGATATAAGCATATAGCCCATATTTAGCCTATATAAGCATATGAGTATATATATTCTAGAACTCCCTCAAACCCTAATCCCCATATAATCATATTTAGAATGAACCAATGAGGCATCTGATCTATTTCAACTAGCTTGACCTGGATATATTTCTATTTTGCTGCTCTATTGTTGATTTATTTTGCTGGAAGCTATTATATTTTGGTGTGTGAACTCGGGTATATTGTTGGGTGCGGGTGACCCATCGGGTAAGAATTACCCTTCGGGTGCGGGTATGGAATAAATTTTCTACCCGCCTGCGGGTACGGGTAACCCGACGGGTAAGATTTTGATCTGGCGGGTGCGGGTACGGGTGGCCAGTACCCATTGGGTACGTACCCGTTGCCATATTTAGACGGAGGCTCTAACGTGCGCTAAGTATTGGAGCATATGCTCCGTGTAGTTTTAGAGTTCTAGAGCTATTGAACTATTCGAGTTCTCAGGTCCTCGAGTGCTCGAATTGTCTAGCTTCTCATTTTTTAGGAGAGCCAGAGAGCCAGAGCGCTAGAGAGAGAGAGAGCTTTTTAGGAGAGAGCTCATCCCT